TCTCTCTCTCTCTCTCTCTCTCTCTCTCTCTCTCTCTCTCTCTCTCTCACACACACACACACACACACACACACTCACAAATAGAAAAGAAAAAGATAAGTAAAGATCTTAAAAGTAATGAGAAGAGAATTTGCAAGTAGACGACAATTCTTAAGAGCTACAATAGCACCAGAAGGCAGTAGTCTGACCCCTCAGAGAACCAAGGAGAAATAAGTGGGTGATCATGCAAGGCCCAGGGCTAGGGAAGGCTGTAATAAGAAAGTGGTCCTTCACAGGTCCTTGCTGAAAGGACAATTCAAGAATGTACCGGGCTTGGGGGTAGGATGGAGCCCAGTCAGATGCAAGACACAAGAAAGGCTGTTGATCAAGAATGTTCATAAGCACGTGGATTGAGCCAAATAAGCATCCAGCAATCACTAATTAGATGAATAATGCATAACTTGGGGAGACACAGTGTGACATAAAAATGGTGACTAGCACTCTAATTCAGGTTGGAGAGAGTTGTTTTGAGCTCTATTTAGGAAAAGCCTGAGGATCTTGATTAATTTTAAATTTAAAGCCAAATAATATCAGAAGTTAAAGCCATGTCCCAAAGGTAGAACTAGAATGGAAATTCCTCAACTCATGTTTAGAAAGGGGAAAAACTTAGAAAAAAATCAAAGAATAAGTCAAGGTAAATAAAATATAGATAATGAGATGGTAGAAATAAACACATGTGTTAACACTCACAAGAATTATAGACAGTATAAAGCTGTTGGTTGACAAAGATCCTCAGATTAAGAAAAAACAAAACAAAGCATACAGCTATGTGGTTTCCAAGGGCCATACATAAACTATGGGCTATGGAGGACAGAGAGACGTACGGACTCCAGGATGTGGGGAGACTGAATCAGACTCAACTGACCTTGAAGATACTTTTCTGATAATTTCTGGGCAAATTGAACCTGGAAATATATGCAAAAGAACAAAATTTACAGTTTTGAAAAATAAAAATATTTTTCATGTATCCATTTGTTTTCTGGCAGCACTCTTAAGCAAGAACCTATTGAACACTGAATAGAAATTGTATCATTTAATATACATGCTAAGGAGGAAAAGCTCTTCAGTGGTAGCTCCCTTTGTGCTGAGTCATAGTATAGGTAATACATTGAAACAACTTCAGGTAGCAAATTTTCATCCTTAACATCAAATCTTTCTTGCTTATAGTGTTTCCAACAGTCCCTGTCCTTAGAGAGAACATGGAATGGGTCCATATGCTTCAAGCTTGCTGAGTCCTGTTCACACACCATCCTGGGTGACCCCAGAGACTACAGTGGTGTCAAATGAAGCCCAGAAGCCCATGACTGGGGCTCCTGGTAGTGTCTGGTGGAGTTAGAATAAACGTTTTGTTAAGAGGGTCCCTTGGCAGCAGATGATTTTCTTACAGGGTGAAACATCAAACAGTGACTAAGGCCCAGAACTCTGAGTCATCCCTGCAAAGCCAACTATGACCTGGCTATGGCTTAATGTCTGCCTGTCTGTGTGTTGTTGGACCCCAACCTGAAACTCACCCATTTTCTTCTGTTCTTTCCTACTATAGAAGATGGGGTCCCCCGCACGGCGCGATCTATGTCCCTCACGATGGGCAAGGTATGCATGGTCAAGGAATCCCAGGGTTCCCAGAGGAAGCATGGCAGAAGTTTTCATGGTCACTCAAGTGATCACTCACTCTCGGACCTATGGGTACCAGCAGGGTATTCAGCTTTCACACTTGCTCACATGGCCTCTGACACCCCATCTTTCTTGCTCAGGTGTAGTCTTCCTGACTCTGCATTAAGTGAACGTGAAATGATGCAGGCACCTTGGCTTTGCCATGGGCAGTTTTTACACACTCTCCAGGATGCTACTCAGAGAATGGGGTCTCAAAACGTAAAATGGAGATGTGTTGAGAGATTACTCATGACCAACAGAAATTTGGGTCAACTTTGGTTCACTCTTGCCACACTGATTCCTAACCTAACCACCACCCCAAACCAAAGTACTACTGAATGTTAGAGGCCAGCAAGCTTTTCTAATACCCTCAGAACCATGACTGTTGTTATTCCCGAGACAGGAGGCCTGAATCCCTTCTCTTCCCATAGAACATGCCCCGCCGGAGGGTCAGTGTTGCTGTGGTTCCCAAGTTTAATGCCCTGAACCTTCCTGGCCAAACCCCCAGCGCATCACCCATCCCCTCCCTACCAGCTCTGGTGAGTATGATGTCGCCTGCCTTCTGTCCTTTGCTACATTTCACACCACTGCTGCAGAGAGGATGCAGATGGGGACAGGGTCACCAGGGGCAGGAAACTTCCAGCAGGGACCATGGATGGAGGTACACAAAGCAAGCCAATGTCCCCGTCCCACGGTTCCGAGACTCGTTCTCTGTGCTCTCCAGCAAAGCATGGGCGGCTCAGGAGGTGTACCTCAAAAACAGCCGCCCCTTTGAACAGAAGCTCTTTAAGGAGAGGATGCTTAAAACAAGCAAGCAAGCAAACAAATTTTGCAGGGTACAGGGGGGGTGTCAGCTGTATCTAAAGCAAGGCTCTGGCCGCAGAGCCTGAGTTTGTGAACGGGGCCTCATCCTCGGTTACTCATTGCTGCCTTGTTTGCAGTGATGAAACCCCGAGGGTAACTCAATGCTTAGCAATAGGAGACTGGCAAGCCAATTGTGGATACCATCATACAGAATCTCTGTGGAGCTATCACCCATGACGTATTATGAAGAAATAGCAGTTTCTATGTATAATAAACACATATATCGGAGTATGTGTAATATAATTCTGTTTTGTACTTTTAAAAAAGATATAATTGATTTTTATTTTATGTGCACTGGTGTTTTGCCTGCATGTGTATCTGTGTGAGGGTGTCAGATCCCTGGAACTGGAGTTACAGTTGTGAGCTGCCATGTAGGTACTGGGAGTTGAACCCAGGTCCTCTAGAAGGACAGCTAGTGCTCTTAACTGCTGAACTATCTCTCCAGCTTCCTATTTTGTACTTTTAAAAATAGTATCTCTGTGCAGACATAGAAAATTATGGAAGAAATATTTGGAATTTAATAATTGTTCTAGGTTAATTTCTGTTGTGATAAAATACCCCGACAAAAAGGAAGTTAGGGAAGAAAGGGTTTATTTGGCTTACAATTCCAGGTTATAGTCCATCACTGGGGGTACATCAAAGCAGGAACTCAGCCGCCACATCCACAGACCAGAGCTGGGTCTTCCTACTCCCATGATGGCAGGGCCTTCCTGCCTTAGCTGGCAGTCCCCCATAGGCATGACCACAGGCCAAGCTCATCTAGACAATCCCTCAATTGAGGCCGTCTTCTCAGATGACTCTAGGCTATGGCAAGTTGATAATTAAAAACTACCCATCACGATAACGGTTATTTCTGGACAATGATAAAACAGATCACTTTAATTTTCTTCTTTATTTTTTAATATTTCTATAGGGTATACAAAGAAAGGCAGAGAAAATGTCCATTTCATTCCAGATGAAGGCAATTTCTTTCTTTCTTTCTTTTTTTGTTTTTTTGTTTTTCGATTTTTCGAGACAGGGTTTCTCTGTAGCTTTGGAGCCTGTTCTATAGACCAGGCTGGCCTCAATCTCACAAAGATCCACCTGCCTCTGCCTCCCAAGTGCTGGGATTACAGGTGTGTGCCACCACCGCCCGGCTGGCAATTTCTATATATAAGAAAATCTTTTCTATACCTATAGTCTTTGTGGACTTGATGACTTTTTTCTAAAACCTTTGAACATCTGTCTCCAGTGGCTTTTCTAATCACGGTGCACACTAGCACAGCTGTACAGAGAGAGGTTCAATGTGCAAGAAGCTGGTCAAGTCACTTCAGGCTCCACCGTACCCATAGCTAGCAATCATTGTCACGTTTCTTTTACCTTGTCAGTATTTTGTCTGTGAAATGAACTCAAACTCCAAAATCACTGAAACAAAGAAACCTGGAGGGCCTGGAGAGATGGCTCAGCACCTTAGAGCACTGGCTACTCTTCCAAAGGACCCATGTTCAATTCCCAGCACTCTCATGGTAGCTCACAACCATCTGTAACTCCAGGCCTAGGATATCTAGCACCCTGTTATGGCTTCCATGGGCAATGCAAGTTTACAGTGCAGACATACATTCAGGCAAACATGCATGCACATAAAATAAAAACTTAAAAAACTGACATTTTTTTATGAGACTAGAAAAGGTCAGTTAGCAACAAACCTTTTTACTAGATCTATGGTTTCCAAATGTATACCTTTAGATAAGTGATTGACAACAAGTCTTTAAAATCACAAAAGCTGCACTGAAAACATCCTGATCATGGGTCCCACCCCCTAACTCTGGAATGGTTCAGTCCTATTTACTGGACTCCAGGTGATCCTAGTGTAGGCACAGAGCTGAAAGCGTATGCTTCAACCATGACGGCTACGGTGGAGCAGCGCGGCTCCCAGGTAAACTGTCCAGAAATGTCTGCCAGCTTGTGACATCAAGCATCTCCTCCTGACCTTTGTACTTGGAGCAGCACCTGCAGGAACAGTGGTGCTCATGTGAGTCCATCCCAAGGACTTCTAGACTCACATTTGGTAGGAGGCCTGCTGGTCCTCAGGAAGTGGGACAGGAACCCTGAGGCTCCCTGCTGGGATGGAGCCTTAGAAGGCAGACTGGAAAGCAGTGGGGGGAGAAGGATGGAGAGAGAAGGGTCAGCAGCAGCAGCCCTCCGCAGCATCACCTGAGGCCCGGCAGCCCTGGCTGCCTCCTTCATCACTCACCCTCAGTTCTGGCTCCTCTTTTCCATCCAGTCTGAATCACCCAACGGAAAAAGCAACATATCCGTCCCCCCGGTGCTGCCTGCACTTTTGGAAAAGTAAGTTTCTCTATTTTCCACTTAATACTGGGGCTCCTTAGAGAAAGTCCCCAACTTGCTTTCTTTACTCTCATCCCTAAACCAAAAACGAAATAGAAAGAAAATCAGGTTCTAGGGGAAATGAATAGGACTCTGAGACAGACAAAGATTTCAGATCTTGCTTTGTAAAACTCTTGGACCAGGAGGATACTGTTGCGGAGACCAAGTACACCCTTCCTAAGACCCTCTGAGAGGTAGCAGGCCTCCTCGTTAGTCGGGGTTCTCTGGGGCTATGGACACGAAAGCTCTAATTCAATGGGGCTTAGATAGGAAGCGCAGGGTAGGCTGCTCCGGTGTGGCAGGATTCCATCTCTCTGTGGTTCCCTTCATGAACAGTCACTCTGGCCACTTCATGTGGATGCCGTTGTCAAGCTTGTAGCAAGTGGCCGCTCGTCCCAGAACCCAAGGCAGGACTATATCTAAAAGAAGATGAATATATTCCTTCCATTTGGGGATAGAATCATTATATGGGTTTAAACTATCCAGGAGAGGGGGAGAGGGTCCCCGAAACAGGGTGACTTTGGGAAGGGTAAATCCTTTTTTTAAAACATCATCTTTCTGTGAAGAAGTGGCAAGGAAGATACATATTGGCTTGAGAGCTTGAGAGGGCCTCCCGGGCCTGGCTTTCCCAGGCCCCCACGCAATCATTCGCACGTCTTCTCATGCTAAGCCAGAGCACTAAGGTTGTTCTTTTGCACTGTGGGGGTTGGGGGTGGGGTAGTTATAGCTTACTTTTTGAGCTTTTTTCATTTGCCTGTTGGAAAACATCTGGATCACAGCTGCCTGCTCTCAGGACTTTCTCCTTGTGTATTTCCTCAGTTGGTGGAGTGCAGACCTCACTTCTCTCTCTTTGCCTTGCAGCAGCTTTAGTCCTGCACAGTCTGTTGCTGTTTGTAGGTTTTGTGTCATCTGGTAGGAGTGTGACTGCTGGGCCCCTGTCTCTTCAGAGAGGCTCCCGAGTTCCCTACCTCCAGACTCTGGGTGTGTGTCATTGCCAAGTTCCCACTCAAGAGCCCACTGGTTACTGTCAGTATTTGCCTGGTATTTACCCCCTTGGTCACTTACCAGCATGTCCGTCCTTTTCATCACAGAGTACATCCTCTTCCTTCCTTTCCCTTCTTGATCACTCCAGAAAAACTGTCAAGAGACCACAAATTAGTCACCAAACACAAGTATCTAGCCTACAAAGTATCTTACCACCTAGAGCCACGATGCCTAATTCACAGCCTCCGAATCTCCCTAGAAACGACCACTTATACTCTCTGAAGTTCTGTCAGCCTTCACTTTGGACTCACACAGTCCATTTCAGAGCACTGCCATTAAAGGCCTCTCCTTAGCTCTAGGCCTACAGACCCAGCCAAGGCAGAAGATCTAGGTCCCTGCTCTCCTTGGTGAACTCTTATTCAGAAATAAAGTTAGGCCAGCTGAGAGCTCATGTCCAAGGCTTTGGAGACCATTAAGAACTTGAGATGTCCCCTGTAAGAAAATCTGATAGACAACCCCAGATCTGCTGTATCAATGTGTGAGGATCCTGGATGGTGGCACCCTTCACAGGTTTAAAATCAGGAGCTAAAAGGACAAAGTGAGTCACAGAGTCAAGCCAGAGGTCCCCAGGATGAGTTTGTAGCTTCCTCCTGGGCTAGCTAGAAATTGTCATTGACCATGTGTACACTGTGGCTGACTGACCTTCTGAAAATATATCCAAATAAAAGGAGAGACTCTGGAGACTCCAAACAATAGCAGCTCTTCCCTGTGGACTTACAGAAGATGTTAACTGATTTTTTCCTCCAAATGCACAGACCTGAAAGCATCATAGATCCCCAAGTGACCAATAGTGAAACAATTTGCAAGTGAAAGTGAATTCATGTCCTCTCTACTTATGTATAGCTGTACCAATTCCAGTTAGCCTAGTTCACATTGTTGAAGAGAAGTAATGTGTTATAATTTATCAGACATTTGTAGTTGCATTGAACTTCATGTTAAATGATTCCCCATTTCCTAAGTGTTCCATATAAGGAAGGGAACTGGCTAGGCGTGTGATAGTATGATCAAGTAGACTGTGGCCAATCCATAGTACAGAGCAGCTGACTCTACCGTCTGTCCCGTGGGAGCTTAGAGCGCTCCGAGTCTTGTTCTTATAGGCCATAACAAACCACTCTTCAACTCAACAAAGGTCTAGAAATGTATAGATTTAAACATATGGCTAGAGAATGGTTTTTAGTTATCCTGTATGTTAGTGGTCTTTTATTCTTTCGTTCTTTTGACAAATGTTCTCAGGGTCAGTCTCATGGAGTGCTCTCAAGGAACGCTAGTTTAGTGGGAAAGCCAGGCAGGAAGCAGCCTATTTTTCCACCGTGTGATGACTGTTGTCATAAGGAAGTGCATGTTGCTAAGGGACCAACACATGAGAAATGTACCCCTAACCCTGTGTGGGTGTAAGATCGGGTGGGGCTCAGACAATGTTTCCACTTAGGAATCTGCTTTTAAAGTTAAGCCTAAAGGTTTTATCGCCAACTAGGTAAATAGGAGGTTCACAGCATTCCATGGTAGTGGTGAATTCAAAGAAAGATGATGGCCGTGGTGGTGGTGATGACAATTCCTGTTCTTAGTTAAAACTCATTCCTTGTATACCAGGTGCCTTTCCTCCTAATTGCTGTCCATTCCTTATTAACTCTGCCAAGGATCTCAGGAGGTGGATACATTATTAACGTCTCTATCTTATTGATGAGGAAGATGATGCCCAGAGATATGAAGGCTAGAAGCTGGCCTGCCTCATGTTCTTAACCTCCTAATGGAAGAATAGGGGACATTCAGAGGGACCACAGAGGAAAGGAGAATTCTTTGGGGGAGAACCTGGTAACTGGATGGGCGTGGAGAGCAGGGCAGAGCAGGCTATGAGAGAGTATGTGCAGAACCTCACAAAGGGGTCGACAAATCTGGGATGTGGGAGAGTGTCAGTGGATTATTTTTATGAACAGGCCACAGTGCTGGTGTGTCATAGTGCAGCGTTAGCTATTGTCTTTAAAATCTCTGTCTTCTATGCTTTTGAAGCAGCCAGGGTCATTAAATTGTCACAGCAAGCAATCTATCCCCTTATTGATTGTATTCTGGGGAAAATTATATCCCAGGGTAATTATTACCCAAGATTCTGGGACTGGGTACAAGGGCCTAAAGAAAGTCCCATAGCTCAGGTCCTCTGGGGTGGGCTTATCAAAAGAAGCCCTGGAATTGGGATGATTTAGCAACATTGCTGAGTCCAAGAGGCAAGATCTGCCCTTTGGAAAGGCTTGAAATCACTTTTAAATACTACTCACGAACAAACTGATAACCAGCTTGGCTAACAGTTTACTTTGAACAAACAGACCTCATGTGACCAAGCTGAGCACAGTGATAAACACAGCCATAGTTTAATGACTCACCCAGAAAGAAGGCACAGATTCCAGACTGAGGATGGATGCCACAGTGTCCACCCAGTGATTCCTGGGATGGGCACAGATTGTGCCCAGCTCTTGTTACAGAGATGAATACAGTCAAATTCTAGGTTCTCGGGAAATCCTCCTTTACAGATGAGATTGCTCACTTCACCAATTTCCTACACAGGGGTTAGACAAGTCATTGTGAAGTTGGAATAACAAATGCACTCCAGTCTACAGCAGGTACCTATCAAACATAGCCCCCTCATGTGATCATGATCAGAGGGAGGGATGGGGGGGGACATTCCACTTTATTTAGCCAGTTGGCCTGGGAGACAGTGGTAAATCAGCAAAGTTCTCACAGAGGAGAAGGATTTGATCTGAGTCTTAAAGATTTTTGAGGAGAAACTGCCCGATAGTTGCAGAAGATATTTAGGGAACGCTAAGGCTGGTCTAGAAGTCAGAAAATAACAACGAAGTGTGCACATTACTGTATTTTTCCCACCTCCAATCCCAGCATCCTGCCTGTGCTAAACCAAGGCCCTCCGGGTCTCTCATACTTGAAGCAGTCTGTGGAGGAAGGAGCATTGCTGGCTGTGGGGATGTGGTGGGGAGAGCTTCATTCAGCAGATGTGTTGGACCTTACACACCAGTCAGAGCCCCAGAAGAGAAATGAAGGAGGGACCAAGGAAGGCAGCTCCTCTTGACATGAAGCTACTGGCCAGAGTGAACAGCCCAGCCAACATCAGTGATGTGAATGTGGGCAAGTAGCAAGCTTATGTTTCTTAACTGCCAGGAAGAAATGCCTCCCAAGGACAGTAGCTAGCACAGTTAAAGCATGGGTCAGCCTCAACCTGCAACAGAGCCAAATTTGAGCCCTCCCACACACTGATTGTTACTGGAGTTAAGGTCACAGCCCAACCAGCCAATTAAAAGGGCCGAAATAATAGTAGAAAGCAGAAAAAGGATTTATTCAATACTGTTATTTTGGGAAGGAAAACAGAGACCCAGTGACCTTATGCCCAATACATCTTCAGTCCTGACAGGAGGTTTGGGTTTAAGTAGAAGGCCAGAGATAAGCCTAACTAGATAGTCTGGTCAAGTTATGGTCCCTCCCATCATTGACCCACCACAGTCTCAGCTCTAGTCTGTCCTGCAAGGTGATCTGGCAAGTCGCAAGTCTTTTTTGGGGGAGACAATTTCCCCTCTGGCTAGCCTAGGCTTCTACCAGCATGAGATTCCTGAGGGGATTTCAATCTCTTGGAGTACATTGTTCTGATAGTCTGATGGCCAAGAGCCACACATGTCTTTTCTATTAGAATGTCCTCATTCCTGCCAGGCAAGGGGTTTCAAGATTGCACAGCCTCTGGCTGGTATTTAAGGTCTCTGAGCCTGGGGTGTTGGGGTTTGAACCATGTCTGTCTCAGGCACATTCTCTTCATGTTTATTTAAGGACCCTCTAATGTGGGCAGCTATAGAGAAAAGAAACTAAAAGTGTGGTGACTGTGTTTCACTTCTAATGTATAAATACACTGCATGAGATAATGGCTGTCCCCACCCTGGACTCTAGGTGGGTTTTTCCTCGCCTCCTCCAGTCATTGGACAAATAGGAAGCTGCACATTAGGCTAAGGTCACAGGGAAGGGAGTGGAGAGCATAATTTGCAGGAGGAGAAATGTTATGAATAGCTGGTATTGTTAGGGCCTTATCTTTCTTGTTCACGATGGGGTTTGGGTTCTAGCCTAATGAAACATATATTTAGAGGGCTGGGGGAAAGCTAAGAGATGGGAAATTGCTGCCAAGAGTAGGGAGCAAGCTGAAGGTTTGGACCCTGCCTAAGGAAAAGCCGAGGTGACCCCTTAGCTTTCTGCTAGAAGGTTCAGCTCACAATGTGGTCTTGTTTCTGGGCTCTTCCATGATACTATCACTTCCAGTTGGATTAGGGGCAGCAAGATGGCTGCAGAACCCATCTTAATTAGGTTATTAGGTTGCTTCCCATGAACTTGTGGTCCCACTCATACGTTAGACAGGCTCCAAGCACGCCCAGCCACCCCGAGGTGATTGGCTAGTGTGCCTGTCTCCTGCTTTTCCCCATGATGCTTGTACTTCCTGCTGTTCCCCAGCCTTCTCAGGCCATCTACCCTCACTCTCTGCAGAAGACCGGGCCTTATTCTTAAAAAGGCCGTTTCAAGCCGGGCAGCGGTGGCGCACACCTTTAATCCCAGCACTCGGGAGGCAGAGCCAGGCGGATCTCTGTGAGTTCGAGGCCAGCCTGGTCTACAGAGCGAGATCCAGGACAGGCACCAAAATTACACAGAGAAACCCTGTCGTGCAAAACCAAAAAAAAAGGGGCGGGGGCATTTCAGCTTTACCATTTGGATAGGAGGCAGCTCATCTTTGTCAGGACCCCACCCTACTGTCCTCCTCTTCTCCTCTTTGTCCAGTTAAGGAGAGGTTTGCCTTACTTTTTAAAGGTCTTGGTTCCTTTAGTCAAAGATACTGTCCCTTTGGCCATCTTCCCATCCCCTCTGCCGCCGCCGCCGCCGGCCCTCTCTACCTGTGTTTGCATCCCTTGACCCATGGATTCCACTGCGCAATCCTGCTAACGTGCCCCCGACTCCCCTTCCTAGCCCCACTGTGGCTGTACCTTTCTCACTTCCTGTTCCTTAATCATTACCTCAAGGCTCCAACTGACCCTTGCATCATCAAACCCCACCAGGGACACAGACTTTCAGAAGACGCAGTGGAACACAGCCAGCTCGCTCTCCCTGACCCCCAAGCCTCCACCCCTTCTGGCTTGTACCTACCACTCTAGCTGCCATTTCTCCGCCTTTTTATCCTCTTCCTCCTCCTCCTCCTCCTCCTCCTCCTCCTCCCCTCCTCCTGAGATGAGCTTGAAGATAACTGGTCCTGAGATCTCTGCTCCTTGTTTCCATGTTCTCTTTTTAGGCCATCATCCACTCTTTATATCTTACATCAGTACCTCTGCCTCCTTGTGACAGTGCTCCGTTGTCTGTGACACTTGCCTGTCCACTCACAGCACCTCCTAAAATGAGAATGAAGTTGGCTCTGGGAACATCAGGCTAAGGGAGCTGTTGTAGTGTCTGCCCCCTCAGTGGTCTGGGGAAGATTCACAGAGCGGGTCTTTATAAAAACTCAGTCTCAAGATAGACATTTTAAAACCTGAAAGCCAGCGAAAGAGCCTGAGTTTCCTCTTTGAATCAGGAAGCAGGCCAAAGGTACAGTTTTGTCTGCAGATGTTCAGTCTCTCCCTGCACTGACGCCCTGTACTTCCCTCCTCTCTCTAGTGGAAAGACAAGTGCGGAGGCTGACTGTGAAGCTGGGGCCCCTGGGCCGCTCCCAAGCTGCCTGGAGGACACAAGCCAGGAGACCAAGGCCAGGGCAGAGGAAGAAGCCTACACCAAAGGGTGAGTCAGACCTCACCACCCCAAGGGCACCTGGCAAGTCTCAGAAAGGAACTTCCCACACCCTGGCTTGCTTCTGAGGAGTTTTCGGGAAGCAATCAATGGGCCCAAAGCCTCTTTCAGTCAAGAAAGGCCTACATAGAGAATCAGGACACAGGGTGTGTTTAGACAATGGCTACCTTAAACTAGACCTCTCTTTTTCAGCCATGATGCCACTGCCTAGAAAGGCCTAAACACCAGGGGCCTGGGCTAGGTTCCTCTTGGTGCTGCCTGAGGCTTCCTGGCATGTGTGCAGAGCTGTCATGTTGCTGCCAACAGTGCCCAGGGGCACCTTCAACTGTGCTTCCTGGAATCACCCTGGTGTTCCCTGTAACTTGGAGCCCCTCCCTCCTGCCCTTGCCCCACCATTTCCACCCTGGCCCGTCTCTAAACGAGCTACATTAGCAACCAGGACCAGCTATCAGCTACTCAGCACCGAGCAGGGTCAAAGGCCCATGACTCAAGACAGAAACTCACCTGTAGCCTAGCACGGTGCCCCATGGCTCCTGAGGGAGGTTCAGCTTACCACGGGCACAGAACCCCATGGTGTCTGTGTGGCAGTCACTCAGGGGGTGGTTGGGGTCATCTCAGCCAAACTAATGAAGTTAGACACCTGGCTGTCAGATGAGTGAGCAGATACGCTCAGGGAAATACTGATCCCAAGAGGAATCATGGGAGGCTTTTAAGGAAGGCTCGCCTCTGAAAACATGAGAGCAAAGTCCCTCCATTGGTTTTGTGAATATTTTCTGGGTACCTCCCTATGTCAAGCCCTGACATTTCTGAGAAACACCCCAGCAGCCTGAGATGAGGGTTCCCCTGAAGTTGAAGCTCCTGGGTTCCACAGGGAAAATGCACTCTGATCTCTGGGGAATGTTCTGTAGGATAACAACCAACGGTCGATCTCGTCCCACATGTTTTCCCATCAGTTTGTCACACTGTCACACAAACAGGAAGGATGGCTGAGGAGTGAGGGGAAATGGCATTGACATGAGTTGTGTTAGGGTTCAGCAGAGCTTTCCAGCTTTTTCCTGTTGCATGGAGCCACAGGAAGCGTGCAGTGACCAGAGGCTCTTGAGTCCCCTCCCCCGGGCCTCAGGCAAGAATGCCCTGGGTGCCGCCCCCCCCCCAACTCAGTTGTTCCTTTTTGCCCTCCAGATACCAGGAAGGGCTAAAGAAGACTGAAGAACTTCAAGACCTGAAGGAGGAGGAGGAAGAACAGAAGACTGAGAGTCCCGAGGAACCAGTGGAGGTAGAAGAAACTGAGGAGGAAGAGAAGGACCAGAGAAGCAGGTTGGAAGCCTACACTTGGATCCCGAATGGGTCGCAAGTCATTTAACTGTTGAATTGCGCCAGATGGATGGAAACGCCTTTCCTGGGTGGCAGTAGGGCCTGGGGCCCAAGTTGTTGGCCAACAGAACTCAAGAAGGCACTAACTCCAGACAAGAGAGAAAATTAAGTTAGAAATGGCACACTTGCCAGAGCTGAGGGGTCAGAGGTGGTTATGGGCAGGGCAGAAAGCCATTAATAGCTGTTAGAGGGTGAGAAAGGGAGAGGGGACCCCCCTCCCCCCAGGACTCTCAGCCAAGCTAAGGTCAGTCCATTCCACAGCCACCACCACAGAAGAGTCCAGATCAAAGGAGCAGGCCTGAATCCCTAGAGAGGGTTTTGGACAAAAACCAGAAGAGTAGAAGGAGGCAGAGGGGCACGTGAGGCAGGGAACAAATTCGGCTCAGTTCAGTCTCTAGTAGGCCCTGCTGCACTGACCAAACACTTGCCCATGTGCACAGTGTCTTCACTTAGGTTGGAAACACAGTATTTTCTGTTGCAGGGTATCTTCTTCTTCTAATGAGGGGAAGAGCAGACAGACACAGAGAAAGTCTGTATCCCGCGACTTGCTCCAACAGGTGTAGATTTCACTTTACCAAACAGAACAGTAAATTAAAACAAAACAAAACTGGCACTTGGGATTGAACCCAGGACCTTGCAAATGGCAGGCAGGCGCTCTTCTACTGAGATACATCCCCAGGCTGGGAACAAGAGAAATAACCTTGTCTAGTTGCAGGGTATGTATTCCATGTAATGAGGTCACAACCCCACAGGCCAGGACTACCCCGCATAGGAATATCTCTAAGGACAGAATGAACTGTTCCTAAGAAGAGGCATGCATTCCTTTATCAGTATAAGGACCAGATCAACACCCAAATTTCCAGAAAAGCCCCAATTTCATTTATTCCACCCAGCTATCTCTATTAGTACATCAAAACCATAAGTCTTGTTTTTGTTTTGTTTTAAATATACTTATAAACATCTTGGAACACTTCACTGAAATCTTCTTTTAGATACCCTCGACTATCCTGGGGTCCAGAACCTCTGTAGACAAAACCATTAGCTGTATGATCACCTGCCACTGATCCCAACACGGTGTCTGTAATCTGAGCCTCCTGCTGGCAAGCTCTAAAACCTACTCACACGTATAAGGTAGTAAGTGAAGATTGGAGAGAGGATAACTGTGTTTCTGAGCCTGGAGATGCCACCACCAGAGCCCAGTGGTAGAAGATGCAACCAGCAGGAAGGGGCTCAGCCCGCCTGAGTCAACCCCACTGTCAAGGGAAGAGCTTTCTTAGAGAGCCTGGAGCAAGCCTGTGACAGTTATACCACCCTCTCTGGTGAAAGAGTCTCAGCTTTAATCACGGAAGCACAGCCCTGAGTGAGAGCAACGAGCAACCAATGGCATCCAGTCCTCCTTACACCTCACCTCCCTCTTGGGGGTCATCTGCATTTATTTTGCCGACCACCAGGCTGCCTTTGTCAAGCCCTGGCCTGGACAGGCACCTTGAATTCTTCTAAGACAGGCTAGAATCTCCAACGCTTCCACGCACTGCAGAAGAATAAAAGAGAAATAAACAAAGCAAGCACATTACTATAAGCAGTCTTGCTTACAAAGCACAGGCCTAATCTAGCTAACTTGATCTCTGGCAGTTGACAACTCCCTCCTGTCTCATGAAAGCCCAGGGAACCAAGGTTTGCCTGGGTCCTTTTCTGCTCATCCTGTGACCAATTCTGGACAATGGCCATTTGCAGCACCTGACCCTTTAGAGGCCTCGTTCAGACTCCCATCCTTCATGTGTGATTAGAGTTGTTTGAGGTTCTGAGGAGATAACTTCCCCAGATGACTGATACCAGACCTGAACAGGGCCCTCCAAAGAGTCCTTAGCCTTCAGCACAGGGTTACAGCTTCACTTTTTCAGGCTCAGCCCATCTTCTCAGGATGTTTATCATACAAACTGCACACCCACTGTCAGAAATTCCCTCTCTCACCCATAACCCAAGCCAGACTTATCCCAAGAGCTGTCATGCTTAATGCCAGATGTTCAGCCCATTGTGGAGTCCCTTAGAACCAGAGTTGCCTGTAGGAGACTTCACTTGAACATGAATCCCCTGTGAAATGTTGGCACCTCACTAGCAAGCAAAGTCTGAAGTTATCAAAAGTTCCATGTAAGCCGGGTGGTGGTGGCGCACGCCTTTAATCCCAGCACTCGGGAGGCAGAGCCAGGCGAATCTCTGTGAGTTCGAGGCCAGCCTGGGCTACCAAGTGAGCTCCAGGAAAGGTGCAAAGCTATGCAGAGAAACCCTGTCTCGAAAAAAAATAAAATAAAATAAAAAAAAAAGTTCCATGTGCTGGGAAAATGGCTCAGTTATTAAGAACATTTACTACACAATCATGAGGACTGAAGTTTGGATCCCAGCACTCACATAACAAGCCAGGCATCCCGAGAACACTTTGTATCCCCAGCTTCAAGAGTGGCAGAGACAAGAGGATCACTGTAGCTTGCTGGCTTCTAGCAAACTGCCTGAGCAAACACAAGCTCCAGGTTCGAGGAAAGACCCCTCCTCAAAGGAATAGGAGAAGAGGATAGAGGGAAATCATCTAATGCTCTCTTCTGGCCTCTGTATACATCCATAGGTGTGTCTACGTGTGTATATGAACACACACACACACACACACACACACACACACACACACAGAATTTTATGTCCTGTTTCATACATTTAAAAAAAAAAACATTGGGGCTGGAGAGATGACCTGGTAGTTTAAAAATCTTGTTGCTCTTGCAGAAGACCTGGATTTAGTTCCCAGCCTATACATCATGGCTCACAAATATCCTAACTCCATTTCCAGGGTATCTGATGCCTTCTTCTGACCTTCATGGGAACCAGGCATACACATGGTACACATACATGTAAGCAGGAAAAGCACTTAAACAAATTAAATAAATCAAAAAATAAATTAAAAAAAATTGAACTAAGTAAGCCCAGCAGCTAGGCCCTTGTTTAAAGGCTTCAACATCAAACTCTAAGTCTTCATGTCTAAGTTTCTTTTCTCTTATATGTAATAAAGTAATCTTTTATAAATATTGATCCCTGGAGGAACTTTGAGCGAAGCAACCCAACACCTTCTTAATGTGGTCTGTGGCATTATTGTGTAACACAGCTGAGACTCACACTATGTAACATAAAACTGCCTCTTTTTTCTCACCATTGATTCAGACTCGCTCTGTGAGCTTGAATGATAGTTAAGCAGGTACCTTTACTTTTCCAATAATGCTCCAAAAACAGAAGCTTTAGCATCAAAAATTGATCCAAAGGAATTCCAGTTCTAGCTTAATTTTGTTTCCAGTTTCTCTTCTAGGCTAAAAATTGGGTGACCACTTAAGAATCATGGACCCAGATCTTGACTACCTCTTTTATAGAATGAGGATGGATTTAGGGGCTGGAAAGAAGGCTTGGCAGTGAAGAGAACATTTTCTCTTGTAGAGGACCTGAATTCACAACCTCCTGTATAGCCAGTTCCAGGGGACCTGATACCTCTGGCCTCCACAGACACCTGCACTCTAGTGAGCATGCTCGCCCCGACCTATGCATAATTAAGAAGTAAATCTGTAAGTCTGGATTTAGAGTGGGCTTCTCCCCATACCAGCAGCCTGTTTTGGAGCGTGCGCGTGCACACACACACACACACACACACACACACACACACACACACACAAATAGCTCAAAAAGTGACTCCCACTAGGATCTAAAGATAAATAGGGCTAGAAAGAAGGAAGCTTGTATTTCCAATCTCTCTCTTCCCAATAGTTGCATAAATAGCCAACGACTTTTCTCAGAAGCAAATGTACTTAGCTGTCATGTAATGGCTGGCATGGCTGAAATTGGTCTACTTCCAAGTCATGTAATGACTTGCACAGCTGAAGTTGCTTGATGGGGTTCCCACATGGACAAGGAACCAACTGTTGTCCCCTATGGCCATGGCATCCAAGGCAAGCATTTCAAGGACCTGGCCCCTTTCTTAGGAGAGCATTTGCCCAGTATTTTGGTCCATGGCAATCCATCTACTTCCCACCAGCTCTCTGGTCACGCTTCCATCTTCCTGAGCAGCCAGCCTGAGCACTACCGTGTCTTTGTGAGCTATGCGGTCCGCTGGAAGCCCTCTGTCACTCTCCCCACCTCTTTGGTCTGGTAACCCTCAGTAATCTTGCTTTGCAAATCATAGAGTTGGAATTAGACACAGGAGAAAAATATAGCTTGCTTCAAATGTGCAGGACATCTCCAGAAACCTCTAGGATGGGACTCTGATCAAATGTCTTTTTACTAAGCTAAAAAGAGAGAAAATGGGCTGAGAAGAAGCTGAGAAATATGCAAGGGGGAGGAAGGACGTGGTAAAAGTAGAGGAGACAAAGAGGGAGGGATAGAGAGAACAGAGCTTAGAGAGAGTGGGAGAAGGAAAGGAGGGACAAAGTGGAGGATGGGTATAATGAAGTTGACAAACATCTGCATGAGCCTCCCAAAGTATGGACCAGTAGCACCAAAATCACCCAGGGATCTTACATCGTAACTGGGATTCTCATTCAGAAGGCCTGGGATCTTTTTAATACAACCTGCCAGGTGACTCTCTGTATTGTTGAGATTAAGAACCTCTGCCTTAGCGTAGAAGATATCACCAGACAGGGAAGTATGGTTCTGGGCATCAGATATGTGCTCAATATACTAATCTATCCCTATTTTATTGACAGCAAACTTGAAGAACTGGTCCACTTCCTACAAGTCATGTATCCCAAACTGTGTCAACACTGGCAAGTGATCTGGATGATGGCTGCAGTAATGCTGGTCTTGAGTGTTGTTCTTGGGCTCTACAGCTCCTATAACTCCTGTACAGAGCAGGCCGATGGGCCCCCGGGGAGATCCACCTGCTCCGCAGCCCAGCGGGACTCCTGGTGGAGCTCAGGACTCCAGCAAGAGCAGCCAGCAGAGCAGTAGGACATCGGATTCCTCAGCCATGCCCTGCTCTGGTGCATTCACCCAACACCCTGCCCCCAAGTACAGTGTGTCAGACCCGGGTATGCACATGCGGCCACTCATCCATCCCACTGGAGAACAAGGAGGCTTTCTCTTCACCCTCATCACCTCCATGGAAGCTATTCACACACAGTCATGCTTTGAAGAGATCAGCAAAACTGCTCTGGGAAAGGGTCTGGTGGACAAAGAAGTGGCCTTCACAGGGGACTCTGGCCCAAGGGAAGAGTCCTGCCCCTGGCTCAGATGGATTGGGAGACTGAAACCCCTTCATTCAGGGGACAGGGAGAAGTCTGCTCTCCCTTTTCCTGCCTGTGTTTCATAATCAGGAAGAGTTGTACTTAATGGCCAGTACTGACTGTAAGGATCGGACCTGGGACCTGGGGTCACATGTGGATGTCTTCCCACTTCACTTACCATGACTGTTCTTTAGCCTTCCCTCTCCCCTTCAGAATCACCATTTCCTGTCTGAGAGTGGGAAAGCGCTCTCATAAAAGTACACAGGCTAAAAGTAGTCCCATGCTCGAAAGGAAACAGGAAGATGTGAGTTAATATATAACGTATCTTTATACATATGGATAGAACACACAACATGTTTGTGCACACACACCCACTCTCTGGAAGTGTGCTCTGCTTGGTGGCAGCCATGTTGTGCCAATCTATTATTTTTCGCTAGGTGTGGAACAGGAGTCACCAGGCATCAATACAGGGAGCCCTCCACATACTCTGAAGATGTTTGAAAAACCCTAAGAAATCATGTCTTCAGATGCCAGTTTGGAGCTGTTGTTCGGCACAGTCTCTTCCCTGGCTGTGTGCTGCATTTGAACGTGACCCTACACAGTTAACCCACCCCTTGGGTAAGAAAAGGTGTGCCTTCCGGACTCTCACCCTACGTTGCACATCAAGGCTGCCGTTCTCCTATTTCCCGCCCAAATGTGTCCTTCCGAGGACCCGTTCAGCAGCAAACCGAAGGAGTGCACCCCACCTCCAGCACGGTGTCTCTCACACTGTTCAGCTGTCACTTCACTCAGCTCTCCTCAGCTGGAGATGGGCCTTCTGTTGTGCTTGCTTTTCTGGTTCAATGTTTTCGTTGCTAACACTCATGCAGAACTTATTGTGAGTCCAAAACTGTCTCAGTGTTATATAGATAGTAATTCCTTTAGTCCTCAAGAAAAACAAAATCTGAAATGGATAGTACTTTCTCTCCATGATCAAATAAGGAAGCAGAAAAATAAAACACACACACACACACACACACACACACACACACTGATACAACTTGTCAGGCATATCTAGCTAGTAAGTAAGTCATTCAAACTAGAGTGGTCTAGCACCAGGGACTGTACCCCCTGACCCCTCTCCGATGGTCACCCAGCTCGGTGCCTTCCGGTCTGATCCACCTCCCCATCTGACCGTTCAGCTGTTCCAAACCTGTCATGGTTCTCAAATGAAATTGCTTCTCCCACTGTGCTTCACCTCATTAGCATCTCCCCTGCCTTTGCCCTCTTCTCTCCACTCCTGAGG